CTTCTACTACTAACGGTTGCTATGAACAGAGTGCTGCGAACTAGCAAGTTCCAACATGTCGTAGCTCAGGAAACACCAGAGCACAGCAAATGCGCAGCGGTGGAAAGGCCACCGCGACTCTTTCAAGCACCCACTCCCCCGGACCAGCATTGTGAATCGTTCCACACTCCAGTACTGCATGGATGTGCTTGGCGCAATTCTTGTTACCCTTTGTACTGCGTTTCCAAGGCAGGTTGGTGCCAGAATTTAGTATCTCAATCGCTCTGAAGTGCCCACTTAAACGCACCCTGATCTCCGCAGTGAGCACGAAATCCTCATGGTACTGGGTTCCCCGTGCGGCCTCCACCCTGCCGCGGGCAGTTTTATAGATGGAGATCTGTTGCCATGCGTTGTTTACTCCCACGTAACTATTGATACACAGGCACGATTTCACCGCGATTTACACCACCCAAGATATTAACAAGCCCTTTCTTCAAGAGTCGCATTCAACTACGCACTCTAACAGAACAGGCTAAAGCATTGCATGTCTACAGCAGAAGAGGCAAAACACAATAAACCGCTATTTAACTCTGCACTCTATGTAATACCGTTTCTGGGCCGTGAATTACAAGTTCACTGGGCTCCGATCGAGGTGAAGCCACTGAAGGCGATCGTGCACTCAACACGCGTTTCTGAGCGCAATTCTGAGCATCGTCCCAAGTGTGACGCTAACAAACCCGTAAATCGTCGAGGCTCGTTGAAATCTCCTGGGGAAAAATATGTTCTGTGTTCCTGGTATGCATCTCATTACAACGATACAACCTAGTGTTAATGACGACGTGGTGGTACTGGTTCTAGAGCACACGACACGTGTACAAAACTGTCCATCCAATCGTAATAATGCCGCGCGCTCGATCCATCAGCAACTTCCGAAGTCCACCGACATCCGCGTGCGCGAGCGTGTGTGTGTGTGTGTGTTCGGCAAAGGGTTAGTTTCGTTTAACGTCCTGGATGGCCTCAGACCCTTTCTACGGCAATGCTGAACATTCCAGGCGTAACATGTGCTAGGTTGTTCTGCAAGCTGTTTAGACTGTCGTAGAACACAGCCGGTACGAGGATGCTCGCTCGTTCAGCGCTTCGGGAAAAGTTTCGTGTTAACGGCTTGTGTAGTGTTCCGATGCGGGTATTTGGAAGAAAAGGTTACACGATTCTCGCGTTCTCGCGTTCACAATGAAAGCAGATTCCTGGCCAGGTGCTGAGTGCAATTGCTGGCTTCAGACAAACTCTTCTGTCATGCCACTGCTGAGGCTAAGTATAATTACTGTGATTGTTGTCAAGATGCGCAGGATGACATAGGCAAGGGGAATACGCGCAATAAGGAGACACCTGCATTTTGAGCAGGACAGTTTCCACATGTTACGACCTGCAAGTGTTTGCTTTCGCTGCATGCTGGCCACTCGAACTCTACCATCATCGCTAATAGGGCACAGCGAATAATTATGTTCGTGTTGTGCATGCATGCACACGGTGAACTGAACTAGACAAATTCGGGGGGAATCGAGCGCTGTGTGAAGGAGCCGTGAGCGAGAGCGCCTCCCAATACCACTCACGTGCACGCAACTACTTTGGTGAGATAACTAGGACATGTAGTTCTGCGCGCCACTTGTCGCGTCCACATGAGACCCCACAGATGGTGTGGGCACACTTCCTGCTGCAGTACCTCGCTGTCCTTGCGTTCTACCAAGACACCCGGTTTAGCACGGGAACCATCACAGAATAGTATGTCCTATCGAACAGCTGAATGTGAAACGGGTATTGTAAATACTGATGATGGAGCACTACAATGCTTGTGTGTTTCTTTCTGGCTTTTTCACTTGACCAACACCCTAGGAGATTATCTCAGCGTGTAAGGGCAGAACACGTTACTCACGATGCCCTTTTCGAGCGATTCCCCTGCTGCCGCAAACATGTCGTTCGCCTTGTACCCCATTCAGGTTTACCGGGTGTGAATGTATGGTGCGTTGGGCAAGATGGTCGAGCCAAAAGGTGGTCCATCGCTTGTCAGTTGCGAGTTACGCAACAGGCGAAGGCGTGAGCTGTCCAAATCGGTGCTATTGTCCTCCCGCCGAACTGATAAGCCCAAGGCCCAACAACGGAGCAAGATAAACATTTCCTCGCCTTGCTCAGCGCACGTATTTTCTGTGAGCCGAAACTGGAAGGCCTTAAGATTGTCATCACTATGGCTAGGTAGACCAATGTCACTTCAGATCCCCGATCCCCTTCACACCTCCCCTGCGTTCCGAATCGGCTTTTGTAACACCTTGCGGTAGGCGCATACTAGCACTATCCTCGTCATTAGAAGCACTTGAGCGAGCGAGCGAGGGGGGGGGGGGGTTGAGAAAGAGAAATAGTCACAAGCCATCGTTGTGTACAGACGGCTCGGTACAGGAAATGTGGCACTAAATTAAAGTCGTTACACGTGTACATATGAGGATTTCGAGTGGCCCGCTTTGCAACATGATCTCCTGGCGGCCAATAGCACTGTTGGCGCTCGTTACTTGGCGGATGGTGTTCACTCGAAATCCAGCCACGCAATTGTTCACGGTAGCCTAGGACTAGCTTGCAACAGTGGTAGTGAGTGACAGCGCCGATTTGGACAGAACCGCAGCTCCAGACGCGCCCAGTGCATCACTGGTTAGCTCTTACCAAACGTGTCCAATCCAATAGGGGAACACCTGAGTAGGCACTGAGACCGTAGAATCTATTCCTCCGGCCATGACCATGGCTACACCTATACGTCAAGCTGGTATTCCACTCTATGTATTTGCTACAAACCATCACATCCCTTATCCTTATTTGGACTGCCCATCACCCCAGTACATATGTAATAGCCGAGCGCCGCATACATGCAGCATGTACAGTACATGTACACGAAGGCAGAACACGAAGGCAGAAACACGCGAGTGGTCAGTTGGGCGGCCGGTTGCGTCGCAAAGATCAGAGAGAGCGAAGCGCGCCAGGGAACCCTGGCACCACGCTCTAACCATTACTGTGTGACAGTGGGGTTTCCACGCGCCTGCAAGCAGCTGCTTCTCCCTAGGAGGTCGCACACCTCGACCGACATCACACTCCTGCGGATTTTAAGATCAGACACCATTGACCTGGGGAATGCCCGAGTAACGTATTGACTTAGTACAGTTCGTGATGACGATATCACGCAGCGTGGTGCCAGCATCACACTGCATATCATTAAAAACGTTATGAACGCATCTTAACAGGTCCAGGTGTCGGGTGCCGTCGCACCAGAGTATCAAAAGCGAACTCACACACGTCTACTATGGTCTGTCTGCCGATACGATGCTAGAAACTTATTATAGCACTTCAGTATTGTGCATGCCTGTACGTTCTTAACTTAAAGATGGCAGCTGTGAGTTGACTCTGGCTCCAGGCAAGGAAGAACCGAAAGGCGATCACAGTACTGGAACTCCTGCTGCGAGGAGCGTTCCAAGACATTGCTTGGTACGCTCTGACACTGACAGACTAGCCTTTTCCCGCTGAGCCAGGAGGGTAAACCCCCTGGTACGAATCAGCAGAATGTTTGCAGCGCAGGTCCATATCAATACTGTATTGGTCACAATAATACCATTTAGCGCTAATCACACCCGATAGGAAGCTGTGACTTTCTATCAGCTGCCGTGATTACTTCTCTATCGCAGTCACGTACAAGATGCAAAATGAAGCCTTTTAGTGAGCAATACCCCAGTCATCGCCATGTGCCTTTTGCCCAAGCTTGCCAGCGTTCACCGAGATCAAGGTGGACACCTCACGGCCAACGAAGACTCCAGAATTTACAATAGAGAAATCAACACCACCTCCCTACGAGGCTTCCCGTGCCTCGCTCCTGATTGCCATGCTGAGGATCGCTTGAGAGAGTGACACAACAAAGATGATCCCCTGCTGGCGGGGTATTGCTGCTACTACTACTACTAGCACGGGGCGGATAATGATCACGTGAAGGGGTCCGGGTACCTCCATTGTACAATCATGTACATATACACTCATTCGCATGCATTAATAGCGGAGTACAGACTCGATTACGCCCTTGGAACTTGGAGCATTGAGAGTCATTGGAAGCTACACGACCACTACAGCGCTAACAGGTTCACGCCCCGCCCGACAGTCAGTGCACCACCATACGAATCACAACAGCACGCAGTCAGGGCGAACACGACGGCAACAGTCTAAAAATTAATAATTCCATTATGCAAATAGACACACACACACACACACGCACGCACAGCATCAGCGAATCACCCCAAAAGCTAGCCTTGCGTAGCACCACTCTGGTGACCTGCGTAATGTTGGACCTGGTCAAAACAACTCCTTTACTGGCCTTTAGTAGTGGAGCAATTACCAGCACATTCTGGTCCACATAAAGTACAGGGGTCTTAGACCATTGTAGTTCACCAGCCTTGTCTATCCATTGTTGTTCGTCTATTGTATTTTGGACTTAGTTCCCGTAGGGTACGATACTCTCATGTCCACACAGGGTGCGTTTGCCCAATTTTAGAACGACTCCTACAGGCTGTAAACAACGCGAAAGCCCCGTGGGTGTCTTCTACGTTCGTCCGAGGCGCTCAATCTCTCCCTCCAGTCCTGAGCAGAAATGCATCCTTGATGCTTTATGGGGACCATTTCGGGACGGTACAAGCTGAGAATATCTTATGTCAAGAGAATTGCGTCTGTATAAGCAGCGGCTTCGAATTTCGAGCGGTGTTGTACGAACCCCGGGCTATCAATTGACACGTAATGTCACCCGAAGGCTCTCCTCAAATGTGTGAACAACACACCGTTCGTGGCGAGACCGCCGATAAACGTACTAAACACGACCCCGTGACCATGACGTATGTGACGTCACGATCTATGTACCTTCTCCACCTTCACACACAGTGCAAATGTGTGCAAAATGTATCTGGAAATACACGTCAAGAAAATGTCCCAATTCCAAAGCTTTCCCTTACCTCAAAGAACTGCTGGCCTCCGTGCGCCGCACTTCGTCGTCTGCAGCCCATCCGAACGTTAATGTCGTCCAGGTCTTCTGGCGAGACGGCCACCAGGCCAGGGAATCCGATGATGCGCCATTCCCCGCAGTCCACTCTGGCCCGGGCGCTGTGCCTGTCCACGCGCAGCGTCAGCGTGTGCGTCGTGTTGTGGCGAATGTCCTGAAACATGTCAATGTCCAGCTGTGGCTGGTCGATAGCATCCACGGCAGTTCCCTTGATCGTCAGCTTGATACTGGACTTTGGGTTGATAGAGATATCGAACATGGGCTTGCTCGTTCCCTTGATGACTGATAGCAGCACGGAGCGAACACCGGACGTCCACCTGAAGGTGATCTTGAGCGAGAACACGCTGCTGATTCCGCAGGGGAAGAGCGTCTCCGCGTCTACCACCAGGTTGTTGTTGCTGCCGTGAAAGCTTAGCGCTCTCACACTCTCGCCGCGCGGCCCGACCACATCCACCTTGCTCGTGCCCAAGGCTGCTTCGGGTCTTCTGCTCAGCAGGCGTAGGTCTAACGCAGCTCGAAACGCTAAGAGGAAGTTTTGAGCTGCAGAGAATCAGGACAGAATCACACGTAAACGGAAAATTAGTACGAACCATGGCATACTGCTTACTCGGAGGGATGACTTTGAAGTTATTTCAAACTGATCAGGTTCGGTTGAAGTTCGCGTCCACTCCAGGAGATAAAGAAACCACGAAGATATTCCGATATCGACTTTGGCGACGGTCGCTTCCCTAATCAAAGTACATGTCGTTTTGCCTATGAAATAATTCCAGACTTCACAGAGTTTTCCAAATGACACACCCAATATCACGGTAAGTATTACACATCCTTGGAAGTGCGTGACTAGACTCTCAGTGCCACGCGAAGAATGTGCTCCATTCATTCGTCCATGTCACGGAGTACTGCACAATGCCATGTTTACCGGCGGGTGCACATAACATTAATTTCCTCGTGTGGGTACTGTATAGCATAGCAAAGGGCACGGTATAACTGTGTAGAAATATTACAACTAGATGACGAGCGCTGCTGTAAGATTTACAATCATGTCAGCCCCGTCCTGCTACTGACCTTCGCATTTTGATGCTGTGGTCCGCTGCGAAGCGAGTAAGCATACAAGGAGTAGGGACGCCAGCGTCCGCAATACGCCACACCTTAGCGCCATCCTACAAACTGAACAGTGGAGCCTGCTACCTACACAAGCTACACAACTAGCACCGTACACCGCAGACCACGCGGAGCGCTGTGTGGGAAGGCGGTACACGCTACAGTGAACCGTATTGTATTGTGTCCGAACTCCTCAGCAAAGATCAGGAAAACAGCGAGGATCACCAATCGGCTCTCACACCAGTGGATCGCAGTCGTAGGTTCCAGACAGTGAACCAAGCCACGAACAATTTATTTCGGGTTGCTCAGTGATGGTCAGATCGGGAACTGGCGAGTTAGGATGCCAGGTACCTAAATATGAAGCTCTCACCGCAAGCCTTGGCTGATTTCTGACTGCCGCACTGGTCTCTGTCATCGCTTTTCAATGGGAGCTCACGAATGCAGATCAGCCTCGTACTCGTACTAGCGAGACATGATTTTACCGCCGCTACATAGCACCGTAACCCGTGGATGGAGTGGAGGGCGGGATGGATGGATCGCGTGCACGCACCGTGGGCCCAGGACGTACATACATTGCCATTGGCTTTACGCTCATGCCGGGGTCAGACCTGCTCAGGCTAAGCCGATACCATGCCAGTGAGTGCGATTGCGCCCCGAACGGAATCTGCGCCTTCGCCACTGATCCGTCGGTGGCAGCTTTCTGCTGTGATCCGCTCCGGCCTAAGCGAATACAGAGGGCCTTGCCAGTATTAGTGTACTGGGTAGCTATGCCTTGTTTTACCAAATGCGCGGCGGCGGCTAAGCTCGACCTGTGGCATTTGAGTGGATCAGAATGGGAAGCCTGGGTATATGTTTGGGTGGACGGGTCCACGCCGAAGGACGATAGGCGGATAGTGTTGTAGCTGGTTGAAGAGCTAGGCCTATGGTACAAGAAGCCAAGAACACGAACAGCCACCCTGGACTTGTATCGGCAATGAAGGGATGTCGGGCATTGGGCGTCCCCTAGTAGTGGCCGCCTCGCCTGGCCCAAAACCTTCACCGCCATGCTTTTCCATAGTATCACCCTTTGCTTAGCCCTTTCTGGTTATGCATACGCGCGCGAAACAGTCACCACGAGCACGACCATGGCATTACCCCATGGCATGGTTCTTCGCAGTAAATGTCGAGTTTTTACATTTGATGTACATTCGATAGTACTTTCATCATGGCTATGCAGGCACCGCGAGTATGTTTCGTGTAGCCCCATGGACCAATATTGTGCACTTATGCTGCAGTGCTGCGACCTTTGGGAGCTGAGGAACTGCTGTACAGAAGATGCCCCTGAACCATGAAATTGAGCATGCACGCCAGAAGTGCTAGTACCCGACAGACTACTTACGGAGCGATTTCCAAACAGCAGTTGATAATCAGTGTTCTCTCTCTGTTGTCCCGGCAGCAACGGTCTCCAATGACTCTTTCTCTCTTGCGCTGCTGCTGCTGCGGCCACTGAAAAAGGATACACCACCTAGCCGCGTGTTGCCTGGCCAAATGTGAAGTATCGCCATTTGTCAGTGCTTGTCGCAGTCTCTGTACAGATGGCGCTCTAGTAGTGTGCTGGTGCATTTTGCTGACACACCGTACAGAGCTAGGTGGAGATGGCTGCGACTGGAATAGCCCTATCCTCGCGTGAACGCATGAGAATGTGCTGTCGGAAGCCGGTCGTTTTAGATAGAAAGGAAAGGCAGCTGAAGTGCCAATAGGAAAGAGTTTGTTCGGTGCCTGCACCTCCACCTCTTCTTGTCTTTTCTCGATCTTCCTGCCCTGGGTTTTGTTCGTTCCTCGCTCTCTAGGCAGGAACTCTTTCAAGGCCAGAAAGCTCTCCTTCACAGCGCTTTTGTGACCTATTTAGGCTGGACGACTTGTCCGCCTCGGCCCAAGCCTTGGAATGTGCGTTGCAGTTACGGTGGATGTAATCATCCGTATTTGCAACATGTAGACCAAACGTTGCGTTCGTGTGCGGGAGTGGACATGTTACATGTGTTTGGGAGGAGAGATGGCACGCTGGGGGAGGAGGACGGGGGGGGGGGGGGTGAACCACTCTCACCCGCTTTGCTTGTAATGCAATTTTGCAGGGCTGTACCGCGCTATCATTGCCACCCGCAGCGCGACGAAATACATTTCGTTCAACCTCCAGCTTAGTGCATCCAAGAAGTGTATTCATCTCTAGCTCTACGTATCGTGTCCCTGAATTTACTCTCCACTGATCGCTCTCCACTAGCTACAGGTACATCGCATAGTAGTAGGTCATGCCATACAATCACGACGTGGAAGACGCAGCTTAGCTCGTAAGGTCTGGGACCACTTAGTTAGGCATCCTAAGACCCGACGGTTGTTGAGAAGCTCTGACTCTGAGCTGCGGCAATGCAACGGATCACACGACTGCTCTGTGCCACGCGCGCTGTCCTATCCCTCACTTCAACACTTGGTGTTCCTCAGCGCTATCCTAGAGCACTTGTTGGATACTGTTGCCGTGTTGGGGGGAGGAAGTGTGTTGTCTTTTCGCCTACTGATCGCTTGTACGTCATGTACGTACATTACCTGATAACACAAAGCACCTTCTTTCAACGCGAAACCTCGATGATGCTTCCTTGATATGAACAATTTTAGCTAACATGTGATTTTCTGCTCATCACTCGAGGGCTGGATGTCACATAAACATCAAATATACGTCCACTATCTATCAAGGCTGACATCAAATCATGACCTTGTGAAAGAGCCATTCTTCGTCGAAAGGCTTGTTCTGGGAGATTGTCGACCTGCTAATTTTAGGCTCACGGCCAGTCGTCAAAGCAATTGTTTCTTTCAGGGACCAGCTGCCCCCACCTTGACACTGATTAATACCCGTCGCCAGCTCGCGGATGCTGGCATCTATGGGCCAAAACTGATACGGAGATCGCGCGCGTCAGGCGACAGGGAAAATCGTGGAGAACCAGCTTTCTGCCATTCAGTGAGTGACACTTTGGGCGGGAGGGTTGCGACTGGCTGAATGAGCAGAGGTCAGTCCTGAAAATGTTCCATGTTCCTGCAGGCTGCAGTCAAACATTCTGCTCTGCTGACGACGTTCACCGCAGCCTTACTGGTGGAGTATCCCTGACCCATGTACGAAGGTCCCTAGATCGATTCGAGTGCCAAGATGACACGATTTCTTCTTCATTCCTTTCCTGTGGATCTTTTTCCTCAAACGGTTGACTCATCATCGGTCAGACAGGACTACATACTGCACACGTGTAGACCACGGTGCTCTAAGGTAAACCCTCGTAGGTTTGATGTCTAGACTATCTTGTCGGAGGAACGTAGGATGTTGGAACAGGCCTTGTACAATGTACCCAATGATGTCGTAGAAGTAACGTAAAAAAACATGTTACGACTGTGACTGCAAGTGGAATGCCATTTCGACTACAGCATGTTCCAAGGCGAGGACGTACAGTACTCCTGCCTACAAGCATAACCCGGTTGGCAGAGTAGAATGCGGTAGTGCAACAAGTGCACGCTTGACAAGGGACTAGGTGAGGCCGACCGAATCGTCTCCGCTCGCTCTTCTCCTGTAAGTTACACTGGCACGGTGTGCGGTGGCAAGACACTGTCTCGTCTTGGCTGCCCTGGTAGACTTGTGCTCGCTGGGCGCAGGTGTCGCGTCTCTAAGCTTCAGACAAGCACCAAACTGCTGGACAAGTCCCACCTGCATAACCCGTGTCCCTCTTCCCATTAAACGACTCCATTTGTACCGTGCAAACAACGCAGATACAAGTACAATCGTGTATATGACTCAGCCAAGCAGTGGACAGAAAGGCTTTGTGGTTGGAACTCACAGTTTCTCGCACAACCGTGCAATCATCAGACATGATAATGGTCCAACATGATAATGGTGGGTTTGTTGGTATGTGACTCATAATTGTGTGCCGGTGTACAGTTTGAGTGCCTGGTCTCACCACCTACACGAATTGTGTCATGGAATCAACTTGAATATCTATACACAATGCATGTACTTGTACACAGTGCTGGCAACTGAAATCCGACCCCTGAGCTCACATCGCAAAGACCCAACACGGTATGGTAAAACTACGAAACAGAGACCGCTAGAATGTGCACCCACCGCTCAGGCGGTCGGATTTCAGTTGCCAGCACCGTACCAACATGTACATGTACAATGTACGTCGCGAATACCGTTCATTTCATTACGCTCACAATCCATTATGGTGAGTTCAAGGGGGATATGGGACGGCATTGAACTAGCGCGTGGTCAGTGTCAGAGTCACTCGAAATGACCGTGAGTGAGTGTGTGTGTGTTACCCAATTGCCCCCCGCGCGCATTCGCCGGTGTTCCATTGCATACTCACACCCAGCTGGTGCGAGAGTTCGCTCCTTTTACGTACTTGAGCGGCAGAGGTTGGTGGATGGCAGGATGGTTCACCACAAATCGTTGATTGTCTGACCTATTTTCGTTTCTCTCCAGCACGCAATACTCGCGCCAGTCAATGGCGCAATGCAAGCGCGCAAGGTGCAAACACGAAAACACTGCAATTGTTTTCCCTGCCTAATGCAATAACCTTGCGGCAAATGTTCCCACGCGGGCATCGCAGGGGAAATAGGAACTATGCTGATGATGTAGTCCACGGCAGCCGTTTCTGTCGCTCCAAGAGCACCTGACTTCAGCGTGATTCCAACCCTTCCATCCAAGTCTGGAAGTACATGTAGAAGGTAACCACTCTCTGGCGTGCAAGTCTGTGCTCTCTCAGTGTTTTCGTTTGAGGGCTATCTTGGCCAAGTTGCTGCAGTGTGGATCCACGACATTACTTGGCACTTTGCACAGCTCAGGGGTGGTCTACTTGTCCAACACCTGTCGTAGCCTGCGGACCAAGATAGAAACATTGCACTGGGGCCCTAGCACCGAACACGTCGCCATTGTTTTGGCCCCGGGCCGAAGCCTTTTCGGCGCTGGAATGCTGTCATGCAGTCATCTGTTCTGCGCGACTCTGGTCAGCTCAGAGCGGTTGGCATCGATTTCAGCACGTCAACGCTCCAACGTGATGATGTTTGTCAGGTAGCCTTCGCTGACACGTCACAGCCCTCTCCTGCCACCATACATGTAGCGAAGAGCAGTGTGTCGTAATGTTCACTGGCTGTCAATGTCGCTAGTCGCTGACACTCAAGGCATGCAGTGAGTGAGTGACTAGTACATGACTGTATAGTACAAGTAGTAGTAGATCTACTGGCAGTGTTGTTGCTGTCAGATCTGACATTTCAACCAGTGACACGTAAATGTCAGCTCTGGAACAGTGCCTGGCAGTAGGCCTGTCTACGTTCAACTCGTGCCGTGCGCGCATGAGAGTCTCCGGATAGCCCGTCGTTCATCCCGTCA